AACAATGCAACTTAGAAAGTGTTGTAACCATCCCTACCTCTTCGTGGGAGATTATGATATGTATAAACATAAGGAGGAGATTGTCAGAGCATCAGGAAAATTTGAACTTCTTGACCGTTTGCTCCCAAAACTTCGCAGATCTGGTCACAGAGTCCTCCTTTTCTCACAAATGACTCGACTCATGGACGTTCTTGAAATCTATTTGCGACTTCATGATTTTAAGTATCTTAGACTTGATGGCTCAACAAAAACTGAGGAAAGAGGCAATCTTCTACGGAAATTTAATGCTCCTGACTCTCCATACTTTATGTTTCTTTTGAGCACCCGTGCTGGAGGTCTTGGTTTGAACTTACAAACAGCAGATACTGTTATAATCTTTGATAGCGATTGGAATCCGCAAATGGATCAACAAGCTGAGGATCGTGCCCATCGCATTGGACAAAAAAAGGAAGTCAGGGTTTTTGTGTTGGTTAGCGTAGGATCAATTGAAGAGGTGATTTTAGAGCGTGCAAAACAAAAGATGGGCATTGATGCCAAAGTCATCCAGGCAGGACTATTCAATACAACTTCAACAGGTTTGCAGTTTTTAATACTTGTGCCATGTCCTGGCCTCCTGGGAATATCTATCAATAATTAATTTTTGGCTAAAGGTGAAAAGAGTTTCTTTTTCATGTTGAGGCAGAAAGGGGGAAGGGGAAAGAGGAGGGGAGGTTTATGTTTTTCAACGCTTCAGAGCATTATAACTTTGCCAGCAACTCGCTGCCTATTTTTTATAACCTTCATCTAACAATTCTTTTGCATATATTAGATTCTATTTATTTGAAAATCCCATTTATTACATGTGAAAAGTTAGAAGATTTAAAATTTTGGTTTAATTACTTGTTTGGTCCATATAATTTCATAAATTTTACTTTTTAGTTTCTATAATTAAAAACTTTCTATTTTAGTACCTATATCTACCATTTTTGTTTCCTTTTATTCTTTATAATTTCATAAACTAACAATGAACGAGAGACTAAGAAAACAAAAATGGTATGTATAAAAATTAAAATAAAATGTTTTTAGTTATGAGGACTAAAAGGTAAAATTTATAAAATTATAGAGATTAAAAAGATAATTAAACCTAAAACTTTAATTGGAAATGACATTATTCCAGACCACCAGCATTTTACCGTGCCTATGCTCCTTGGGTCCTATTGGTAAATAATGAAGACTATTTGAACTTGTATTTTGATTTGTGCAGCCCAGGACAGAAGAGAAATGTTAGAAGAGATTATGCGTAGAGGTACAAGCTCACTTGGAACAGATGTGCCTAGTGAGAGAGAAATTAACCGCCTTGCTGCTCGATCAGATGAGGAATTTTGGCTGTTTGAGAAAATGGATGAAGAAAGAAGACAAAAGGAAAATTACAGATCTCGTCTCATGGAAGAGCATGAATTGCCAGATTGGGTGTATTCTCCAATTAACAAGGATGATAAGGCCAAAGATTTCAACAGTGCTGTTACTGGAAAGCGGAAAAGAAAAGAAGTGGTATATGCAGATACATTAAGTGATCTGCAATGGATGAAGGCTGTGGAGAATGGAGAAGACATATCAAAGTTTTCCGGAAAAGGAAAAAGAAGAGACCACCTCTCATCTGACAGCGTTGCACAAGCCAGCGATAATACAGAAGGGGCAGAAGATTCTTTAGAGTTGAGGACTGAAAGTGTTCCCATGGCAAATGAGAGAACAAGTGAAGATAGTTTCCATGCGACTCCTTCCTCAAAGAGATTCAAGTCTGAAGGAACAAACTTCCTGAAACATACATACGAGGATGTTGGAAGTGGTTTGAACCACCATTTGTTATCATGGAATACTCACAAAAAGAAGAGATCAAGCTACCTTGGCCAGAGTTCATTATCTGATACTAGAGGGCATTCTTCAAATGGAAGAGCAAACTGGAACTGATTTGAGTTTAATTATTCATGGCCTCATGGGTGCCAGAATTTTGCACTACTATTGAATGTGAATCTTCTGCATGAAGCTCTTATAACATAAAATGGTAAGGAACTTTCTTGTATCATGCTAGAGTTTGCTCTTCAGGTGTGCAACATTCATATTAACCTAAAAAAATTAATGAAAGAAAATGTTTAGGGTCAAATTAGACTCTATTTTCTTGTTAGATGTTTAATTTTTTTTTTCCTTGAGAAAATATTTTATGTATTGACAATGTAGAGTTGTTACACCATTATTCAATCACAAGTTATCATGTATGATGAGTTTGATAATTTTTTTGTCAATTAACTTAATTCACACTTGTCATAATTTTTAATTGATTGATAATGTAAAAATATTATGCGTAATGCATAAAAATTAGACTTTTTTTTAACATTTATATTTCTTTCTTGAAAGATTAGCAAGTTGCAGTATTGCATTTTATTCGAATATAAACACCATTAGTAGACGATTTGAACACTGAAAATAAAGTATTTAAAATTAGGCTTATGAAAATTATAATAAATTGGCTTATAAAAATTTTCTTTTCTACAAGGCTCGATTAAGTTAGTTCACCATGATAAATAGGCTAATAAAAATTGTAATAAATTGAAGAGTAAAATATTTCATTTATTAAAGGAATGGAATGTAATGTTTAAAATTAAAAAGGAAGGCATTATAATTTATCCAATATTTAGATACAAATTATAAATAATAATCATCGGGTTTTAATTTTAAGTATGTTGTTATATAATTAAAAGAAAACACATTATCATATTAAAATTATTTTTTAAGAATAAAATAAATATTTAAATATGTCCTCAAATTTAAAATTGATTTATTTCCATGTAATTTTAAAAAAAATTATTTTAATCCTTATACTTAAATTTTGTTAAAGAATCTGTTAAATATTGTCACATAAAATCTACTAATTGGTATTTATGTTAATGAAAATATTACATTAAATTCAGTTAATAGTATATAATTATCTTAATTTGTTACTTTCATATATGTTATTGGTGACATAAAAAATTAAAATAAAATTTAAAAAAATTAAAAGACTAAAAATAACAATTTTAAATTTAAGAGATAAAAAATAAATTTACTCTAAATTTAAAGAACTAAAAATATATTTAAACCATAAAATATATTAAGTTGTCAATTATATAGATTATAGATTACTCTACTCACATTTGTATGTGCTTTGTATATGAATCTAGTAGTACATGATATAGTTGAAGAAAAAAAGTTATATGTTACAATAAAATAAATATATTCTAGAAATATATAATGTATTCTATAATAATTTTTTATATAAAAAATATTTATTATATTTTCTTCTTTTTTTTTTAGTTATAAAAATTATACCAAAGTGTTACATAAATGAAATTTGTTTTAGATAAAAAAAATTAATTAAAAATAACAGTATCAATATGTTATACATATTATACTTTTGTACAACTTTTTCTGTAATTAAGAAAACAAGATAAGAAGTGAAAAGAAATGTGAGATAAGATAATATTATGTTGGAAAGAGATGAAAAAAAATTAAATAAAAATAATATAATTACTTATAATATAAGAATTTAATGATCATGTGCTATAAGTATAAATTTTTACCCCCCGAAAATCAATTAGGAACCATCATTAATAATTTGTGATAAATCCTTTTACATTATTAGAGTATAGACTTTTAACTCATAACATGAATGTTCGTAAATGAAACTATAAAAGTCATATTTGATATGATATTTGATTAACTAATAGAGTAAAAAAAATTATTTTGAAAGTGCGTGTTGTTAAACAAGAAAGAATTATAAAATTATGAAAATATAATAATTTTCTAATGGCAAAAATTATTTTCAATTAATAAAAATTATGATAATTCTTTCAGTTTAGAAATTTTTTTAGAATTTGTCTGAACATTTAATTAAAGTCAGAACATTCAAAAGTGTAAGTCATTCCTCTTAACTTTATGATTAGGATTTTTATGTTTAATTATTATTGGCTTATGGACTTTGAAAATTTTGAGATTTGAAAAGGTAATTACTTATTAATATGCAATCATGACTAATACAGATAAGATTCAAGTTGAATTTTTGTTGACATCCCTTGAGGGTTAGGTTACTAGATTTATTAGGAATATAATTGATAAAGTACTCGATCAAAATCTTTCAATCAAACCCTCTCGACTTAATCTTCTCGGTCAAAAACCTTTCAACCAAAATCTATTGACAAAAAGTTGAATGGATACACTTATCCATCAACCTCAAATATGAGAAATGTAAAAACTAAGTGTTGAAACTAGATCCTATCCTCTTTATTAGAATCTTTTGACCAAAACTTATCGACAAAAAGTTAAGAAGATACACTTATACATCAATCTCAAATATGATAGGTAAAGAGGCTAAGTTGTGACACTCAATTCAGTCCTTTTGATAAAACATTTTGACCAAAACTTTTCAACAAAAAAAATTGAAAAGATACAATAATATAATTTTCAAAATAGTTATTATAGATATCAACAAATTTACTATCTCTAATAATTTGTAATCGGATAAAAATTGTAAAAACATGAGTGATAAACTATTTTTTCATATAATATGTCTCCAATATTTCTGTTATTGATTTTTGTAGTATATTGAAATATAGTCAAACAGGAATACATGCTAATTTGGTAGAAAATATTTGCGTGGCTTTTCAGTGCATCAACCGACAGAATTTCTACAATTTATTTTTTTTTCCATTTCAAAAGGGACCTCCCTTTGTAACAAAGAAAAGTCGTTGTTTATCTCGTCATCGGAGGATGTTCCCAAGTCACCAATTTCATCCATCACAATATATTTTTATTTTATAATCATTTCAGTTGGAAGCATGTAGTTCGCTAGAGAAATGGAGAATTTCCGGGAAGACATCTCTAATCTTCTAATAACGAGCTTTCACCGGATGACAAGTTGCGGGAGAAATTCAACGTTGAAACTTCAAAGGATTAACGGAATTTCTCATCTCCATCATGTTCATGCCACATCAATAAGAAGCAATTCATAAAAAAGGCCATCCAATTACACGCAAGGATTTCACCCACAACTCAGAAGGAAATTATATTTTAGAGAATAAAATATAATAATACATCATCATCATTAAATTAAAAATTAACAATAATGAGCAGGCGTACCCTGTGAGAGCAAATCCTAAAGCAAACACATGGGCGGAACACACTTATTGTTAACTACGTATTTCCAATACAGCAAAACGACATGAACACTCGGAAGAGGAAACATATGTTCTTCTATTCCTGAAAAAAGGAAAGCAAACGCTTAATCAATTTAGTTGCGTTTTCGGTATCAGGCTTGAGCAACTGGTAATCATGACCCTCATCAGTCTCTTCAAACAGTTCCAAATTCCCTTGCCACCCACTATTCTTCAGACCCTCATGATACCAAATCCCTCTCTCCCTCAGCCTGTCCTTCCCAGCAACACAAACAATAATCTTTGAACACCCAATTTCATCCAAAGCAGGACCCACCGGGTTGAACAACGGGTTATCAACCCCATCAGGAGCAGAAGGGTACACAAAGTTCCAAATTAAATAACTAATATTCTCTTCCCCCTTAAGCGTTTCTGCTCCAACGAGGCTCGAACTGTGAAAGAAAGGGTGAGTTATAACAGCGCCGTGTATTTTAACACCGTTAGGCAAATCTTCGGAGCCAGCACGTACAACCATGTTGTGAGCGATGTTGGCTCCAGCACTGTTACCACCAACGAAAACTCTGCTGAAGTCACCGTTTTCAGTCAACCATGGCTCTGCGTGAGTGGCGTTTTCACCAAAATGGGACGCGACCCATTTGAGAGCTTCCCAGCAATCGTGGTAACAGGCGGGGAGAGAGTGCTCTGGTGCGAGTCTATACTCGACGGAAGCGATTATAACCTTGGCTTGAGAAGCGAAGGTGTTGCAATGGCTATGGTAGACTCTGGAGAAGGCGCTTTCGAAGTAGAAGGCGCCACCGTGGAAGTAGACAAAAATAGGAACTTTTTGATTGTCGTCGAGTTTGGGAAGGTAGAGGCGCAAGGAGACTAAAGGGTCGTGTGAGATGACAAGGTCTTTGGATGAGACTCCTGTTTGAGGGTCATGGAGTGTGGGTGGGACAATAGGAGAATTGAAGGGTCGTTCTATGGTGCCATCGCTGAAGACGCGAATTGCAATGCCGAATTGGTTGGGAATTTCTGCAATGAGGGTGCTGTTAGCAACCATGGTCTCTAGAGAATGGAGAATAGAGAGAAGGTAGGATGGAGTTTAGGAATGGTGGGGAAGTTATTTAAGGTATACCATGACGTGCAATTTGCTGCAATGCCAATGGGATAAATGATAATGACGTTGCATTCTTATCTCCATAATCCATAATCCATAATCCATATTCCATATTCCATAATCCCACCCTTGGTTCTCTAAGGGGATAAATCTACTTTTCATTATAAACTCTAATAACAATCTTTAATTCAAAAATTAGTAGTTAACATTATAATTAGTTTAATTATGTTTTTACTCTTTTAAATCTTACGCATGTGTTTTTTTTAATTCAAAATTTATGTTTTTAGTCTCTAAAATATAATATATATTCAAATATTATTAATTAATTTATAAAACATGTTGATGTAATTGATGAATTTATAAATATGAGATGAATAGATGTATGTGTGACATACTTTAAAGTTGTCGAGCTTTGTTTATCTTATATATGATGATGTTTTGAGATGAATCATGATTGAGAAGCTAAATGTAAACTGAGATATGTGTTGTAAGTTGTAGAGTTGTGTGTGAATTATGTGTTATGTTGAATATGTAAGAATTTTATTGTGTTATTTTAGATGATAAATGTTGAGAATATTTTGGGCATTTAGACATTGTGTTGTTGAGTTGTGATGACTAACCTAAGACTAGAGAGATTTTTAAAAGTTGCATATCCGAATGTATGAATATTATGTTGTGATGTTTCGAGAACCCAAAATTGTTAAATATCATTCTTAGAAAGTTGACTCTTGAAGTGGATAGTTATATTGAATTTCCTTTAGGACTTAGTTAGTACCATATGTGGATAAGGTTAATGCACACATGTATAAAACGACCATAAAAGTTGAGAACTTAGTTCTTAACTAAGTATCGGAAGACCGTAGTATTTAGAGGGTAATTGGTAGACTAATCACACAGGAATTTTAGTTAAACTAGCTAATATTTTGGTAAACTCATTACCAATTATTTTATCCCAACAATAATATTAGATTTTCTTATTTAAGTCACGATATCTAAAAAACCAAATTGTTATGTGTGAATTTATATCAAATTTGTTGTTGATCTAACAAACTCAAAAATATCATCCTGAATGTGTTTGTATTTATAGGTATACAATCCTAAATTAATAATTTTTTCGCTATTAATTATTTATTATTAAGTATAAAAATTATGATGATTCATTATAATAAAAAAATATTTATTTTACAAGTTAAATTAAAAGTCAAAAATATATTTTAAAATAAATTAAAGTTTATTCCAATAAATGTTGTTCAACTATAACTATATATTCCTACAATTTTCACCTTCAAAAGATGATGTGTAGATTAGTCTAGTCTAATTATATGATATGTTCCCATAAACTTCACCTTCAAACTTATTTTAGTTAAAAATTGTGTCAGAAGACAATTTCGTATGATGTGATAAGACACCTCTGGTTTAGCCCTTTTTTTTTTCGACGCCCACTTGTGGTTTAGCTTAGAACCTTTAGATTCTCTAATTTTTCCTTTTCTTTGTGTGCACCTATCACATCTAAAGAACATTTTATTATGATTGATGTTTATAATTTTTTAATTATAAAAGATAAAATTTTAATTAAAAAGAAGAAAGCTCTTTAATTAGTGGGAAGATCATTCGGAATCAACATTTCAAGGATATAACATTTTTTTCTTGGTTAATTTTTTTCCTGTCATACATTTTTAGTGTATGTCAGAGGGAGAAAATAAATGAATGAGAAATAAAATAAAAATATGTCAATGAAAACAAATAAAAAATAGATAAAATTTTAGTTATTTGGTTTGAGAGAAATAAAAAATAAAATAAAAATAATATTATATATTTAGTTGAATAGAAAGGAAATTGAGAAAATTAGAATATATAAAAATAAAATAAGCAAGAGAAATAAAACAAAAAGTATCAAAATCAAAATTATTTTAATTTTAATTTTAATGATTCAAACCAAAAGTTTAATCGATTATACATAATCAATTAAACTTACCTTAAAAGACCTTATCGTTTCTTTTTAAATTAATTTATTTATTTGTTACTTATTATTTTAATAATTTAAATACAAAGTTTAATCGATTAAAAAAAGTTATAATCGATAAAACCTACCGTTTCAAAGGTTGTATTTTTAAAAAAATTGAAATTTATTTATTTATTAATAGTTTAAAAACCAAAGGTTTAATCAATTATAAAAAAAAATTTACAATCGATTAAACATACTCTTTCAAAGACGACAATTATGTTTTACGTTTACAAGACTTTTAATTAATTGTTACGTTTACAAGACAAATTTTAATTGATTAAATAACATTTTGTTCGATTAAAATTTTTGGATTAGAATTTCTTCACCATTTCTTTTGGGTCGATTGTGGAAATAAAAGTCTTTAATCTCTCGCGTTACACTTTCTTCTTAAATAAACAAAACTCATTTTTCTCATTCTTTTTTCCTACTCGAAGTTCTCAGATTTAATTTTTGTCAATATGAAAATAATATTTGAGCAAAAATTATATATTATAAATATAAATTGATTATTAATTATTAATCTTAAAGTACTACATGAATTATATTAATAAAAAAGAAACCTAACTCGATTCATAATTTCGAGGACTGGTTTAATGGTTTCTTTGCAGAGAGTTGATGGCTCTCTCACCCATCAAGTATCTAATTCTCTTGCTCTTTTCAACTTCTTTATGATGTGTTTCATTTCATCTCCCTTCATATTCACTTATTGAGAAAGAAAAAGGATGAGGTAGAACCCTAGAAATGCTAATAAAATATCTAATGCTCTACTTAATATTCCTTGTTATTAAGTGAAAAGGTTCATCTCCCTATCGTGAAATTTCACCTAAATATTATTTATCTATTATATATTATAAAATAATATTTTTTTATCCATATAAAAATATATTTTTACATAAACAATGTTACGTGACAATATTATATTTATTTTTCTTGCTTAAATATTCAATAGTTCTTATTTTTATTTTTAATTTATAAAATACATAAATTTATTTAACTAATATTTTAACCTGTGAATTCTACAAGTTAAATATTTATTATTTATGATTAAAATTCATAATAAATTATTTTAAATAAATATTATTTTTGGATATATAAATTATATTTGAAAATTAATATAGACACAAATTTTAACCATATAAATTATATTTTAATTATTGATAATTTATTTTAAATTATTAAAATTTAATTTATAATATATATATAATATATAAAAGAATTAAATTAGATAAAAATTTAAAAATATCTCTCAAGTTAAAACAATAACTTTTAAAATCATTATTGTGTAACTATAAAATAGTCGTTCAAGTCTAATATATTGGAAAAATAAGTTATCATAATTATACCATAATTATACACTTTAATCCTAATTTTAATTCAATCAATTAATTAAATTATATATTCTAATAATAATTATACAAAAGATATAGATTCTAATCTAATCAACCTATCAATTTAGAGAGCAATTTGCTCTTAATGCCTATTGGATAATGACGTTGCAGTCTTATCTCTAAGGAGCCTGACAACTATACTTACCTAAATTATAATTTAAAGAATAAAATGTATTAATAATTTTAATTAAAATTAATTATTAATATTATAATTACTAGAGAGGTATAAATTAATATTTGATTTTATAAGTATTTGATTTTATTATAATTTTTAAATATTTTTTATTAATAATCATAACAACATTTTATTCTCTAAAATACATTTTTTTATTTTTTTATTTTATTGTTTAAAGAACCAAAAGTAAAAGAAAAGGACAGCATTTGTTTACGGGCACTGGTTACCCTGAACCTATATGTCACGAGGTTCACGGTCGACAATTAAAATATTTGTACGGTAGATGCTACAGTGATAGCGTTATTCAATAGAAAAAATATTTTAATAATTTAATTAATTTTTATTTAAAAAGTAAAAAATATATAAATTATTATAACACATAAATATTATTTTGATATGTCAATAAATTTTTATTTTAAATTTTTATAAATAAGTAAATTTTATAATCAGTATGATAAATATTTATTATTATTTATAATAATATTTAATCATGTATTAATTTAAATATAATATGGTTAGTAGATAATTTTTTTCTCTTAAAATAAAATTTATAATCATTATAGTAAATTATTATTTATGATAATATTTAATCTTTTATTAATTTAAATATAACATTATTGATGGATAACTTTGACTTTTAAGCATCTATTATTTTGTATTCACATTTAAATTATCTTAATACATAATATCAATAATATACTTATATTTTGTTTTTTTGTCTCAAAAAACTTTTTTTTTTACTTTTGTTTATTGTAAATTATTTGTTTTTCATTTTTATCGTTACTTTTTCATTATTTATACATTACATGTGAAACATTAATTATTTAACTTAAAATAATATTTATTTAACAAGAGAGATCAAATGATACATGTGTAATTTTTACCAATTATTACATCGTTCAATAAATTTTAATTAAATGATTATTTTTTTTTAAAATACAAGTTAGATTAAAAATTATTTACTTTTACAACATACATGCAAAGTTCTATATTAATTCAAAATGATTTGATATCTCATTTACATAAATCAAAATTAACGTAATATATTTTAAAAATATATTAAAATATGAACAATTGATTATTTTTTAATTATTGTTCAATTTTAACAAAAATTAATATAAACATACAAAATAATATAAAATTATGATTTAACAGTTAAATTCATAAAATTCATATTTAATATAAGATTATTAAGCGATATAATAGTTGATAAAAATTATATCAGTATCATTTTATCACTCTTATATTTAACGGACAAGTCATGAAAAATAGTATAAAAAAAAAAAATAATGACAAGAACAAAATAAATTACAGAAACCAAAAGTTAAGCAAAATAATTCTTAGGAACCAAAAAGATATATGAGCCTAATTATTCACTTTACTGATTTATTTAATATTTACAGTTTTTAAAATTAATTAATTAATGAATTTAT